CCAGCCAGCGGGACAGGGGCAGGAGAAAATAGAGCTCGTGAGCCACCGCTTATAAAACAGCCCCCCTCCTCCCAGGACACTGAAGAGCTCTTAACCAGGAGCTTGTGTTTAGGAGACAAGTGTTCAAAATTACACAGGCGGTGGAGCCCGCTGACAGCAAATCAATAGCACAGAAAGATGCCAAATCCATCCGAAAAGACATTAAGGCACATTTTTCTGTGCCCACATCAGGAATCCCAATACTAATCCTATAGGGCTGTTAACCACTATTGGAACAGCAACATTGGTCCCCCAGGGTCCGGGTCCAATTCTGGAATTTGAATGGAGCGGGCACTAAAAACCAGTAAATGCGAGGATGTTGCCTTTTTTTCATGATTTGTTTCACGGGGATGGCCTCTTTAACAAGCCAACCGGACAGCTGGCTCAACAGAGCAGACGAGGCAGCGCCTCCTACTGAGACAGGCTGAGGAAAAGCGTTAGAGGCAGTTTACCACCCCATCGGAAAACTCCGGAGTCGTTTCTATCAGTCTGAAGCACAGCAGACAGATCTATATCATTGCCCGCGGTGTCTGTGATCCTAAGGCTGGTACAGGTTAATAAGAGAAAACAGTCTGGCTGGGGAAACAATAGAGTGCTGGGCCTGTCTTTTACAACACATTTCGTAATAAATTCTATGTCTGCACCACTCAATAACTGCAGCAGACCCTGCAGCTAAATACCCAGTCAAGGTAAATCAAGCACTCAGATAGCCTCCCAGCCTTAGAGCAACAGTGCCTTTATACCACGCCTGCCATTAGGATTCCCTCGACTGTCACACAGCAACCCCTACAGTCGCCTAGGGGATATTCTTTCAAATCAGACGGCACTGAGCTAATGCTTGCGCGATCCGAGATGCCAGAGTGCTGTAACATCTCCCACGCTGGAATTCAAGGCCATGAAGCGCTGAGTCTGCAGCCCCAACCACCACAACTTCAGCCATCCCTTTTCCAACTGCTTCGTCCCATGCAGGGAAGTCGGAGTCTATCCGGGCAAGCAAAGGGCGCAAGGCAGGGGTACAACCTGGACAGGACGCCCCGTCCATCGCAGGGCAGACACACAGACAAAGCCCCCAGGAAACGCATGTGACCCTGGGGAGAACATGCAAACTCCACACAGACAGCACCCCCCAGGTCCGGAATTGAACCCAAGGCCCAAGCGCTTCGAGGCAGCAATGCTAACTACTGGCAGTAGTAGTTCAGGTGGGGAGCTGCAGGAGCATGCGTAGGCTGCAAAGGAACAAGTAATAGGTTTATTCCCTGCTGAAAAAAAGAAGAAAGAGAACACAACGTTTCGGCCATGGAGCCTTCTTCAGGTGTGAGAGAGACAGGGGAGCAGGCAAAGGTAAAGTAGCGGGAGAACAAAGGCTGGGAGGGGGGAGGAATGAGAGGCGGGAGCAGAGACAGAAAGAGAGGCCAATCAAGAGGTGTGAAGTCAGAATGGGTGCAGAGAGGTGTGAAATGAAACTTCCAATGAAAATTTAAAAGAACAGTAGTGTGTCGTTAAGAGAAGGGAGAATGTGTGATCCCAGCTGCAGAATAATTTTGCTAACTACTGTGCCACCCCTACACCATCATTCTGCCCTACAAGATTTCACGTACTCAATAGTGCAAAATGAAATTCACAAGCCGGGCCACATTAAACTTGCTGGCCACCCACCAAGCAGCACAAATATTTTTTTAAATCCCCACAAATGTGTAAGCACTAGTCTGTTAATCTCATCAGCTAATAACACCACATTTTCCAATTATTTTTCATTTCCCATTGTTGATGGAATATGACTGCAGTACAGTTTTTGCACCTTTTCCAGTTTAGCACTCATGCAATAATGTAGCCTGCCGTCACTGTGAGTGGAACTGAATTTGCAGAGGCATTAATGAGGAAACACAGCTAATACCTTCAATTGTGCATTAAATGTAACACAAAATCGAATTATTGAGTACCCTCACTTTGAAAGCACCTTTCTTTTCTCCTAGAGAGTTCTTTCAAGTCAATTCATTTTCATCAAAATCCAAGGACCCTATAAAGCACTTCTCAAGACACTAATGAAGCCAACCCATTTCGCTTTCCTCCTTTGCTGTCGCTCAGAGGCAATTTGCACAGGTTTCAACACAACTACAGCTCTCCGTCTGTGAACATTCAAAGGCAGGAGTCTACACATGTTCTAGCTTTGAACACGAAAAGGCTACGAGTGGAGTTGATACAAGTACGCAAAATCCCCCAAGGCCTTGACAAAGTCAACAACATCAGGATGGAGAGCGGAACACCCACCAGAAGGCACAAGCTGAATTTTGAAGTACATTTAAAACCCAAAACAGGAGACACTTCTTTACCCAAAGGGTAGTGGGAGTGTGGAACAAGCCACACAGCCATGTTGTTGAATCTGGATTTTTCAAGAAACAGTAGGATGAGATCCTGGAATTAATTTACCACTAACGGACAGATGGGATGGTAAATCAAATTCAGCTCAATATTAAATAACATGCACGAAAACATTTTCATTTAAATATAAATAATTCATTAGAACTAAAAATGAGCAAATTAGCATGTGAAGGGGCCCTAAACAGTCTGCCCATCTCTCTGTGTTTCTGCTTCTGTTTGGATCGCAGAGAGAGCAGCAATAAAGTTAGGGGGACGTTAACTAAGGGCACTGCTGTCCTTTCCTCCTCTCTCTTTGATCAGCAGCTCCTGTCACAGAGTTCAGGTTTTACGCAAAAACAGAAGCACAAAGAGAAGAGGTTTTGCCATCCCAGCAGCTCTGACGTTAATGCCTTTTGATAGATTTCTCCCCAGAGAGCTCGCTTCTCCCTGAAAAAGCCACTTTCTCATTCTCTCGGGACGTAACGTCCACATGCCACTGCATTCCACAGCTAAGTCTCTGCCTTGCAGGAAGCAGACAATGCCAGGAATAATAACTGGCGCAGACTTTCAGTCATGGTTTTCAAGTGACGACGCTTGTAGTAACCTCACACTGAAGTTCAGACTGCTGCCTGCTTGACTTTAGGCCTGTGGATTCAGATCAGATCTCAGACACAAGCAGCATCAAATCTAACCCCCCACCCCTTCACCCCTGCCACACACACACACACACCCATGACACCAAGATTACAGCTCCATTTTCATATAATCGCTTTCAAAACACACAGCACTATCAGCTGCTGAAAAAAACGCTCCCAGTTTCAGGCTTTCTTGACTTTGTCATCTTTAAATGTGTCAGACTTTTGTGTAACAACAAAAAATGAACAGTTATTAAAAATGTGCATTTAAAAAAAAAAATGAATGACTCTTTGGACTTGAGCTTATGATTGCTTGCATCTTAAAGGCAAATCCTGTGACTTTTCTGCATTGTGTTACATGTGTTTACAGATACCTTGTGTTTTACCCCCTTAAAATCAATAATACTTCAATAAATCAATGCGTCAATAAATAAAAATATACGAGGTGGGTCCCCCTCAAATCAGCTCTCCTAATGGTCTTTAGGCAACTACGTGTCCCCGTTCCAAATTCACTCAATTCAGGTCTCACAGCTCTCACGACCCCTCGTCACCAGTTGTACTCTCCATTATCTAACGACAGAGTGAAAGTCCAGAAAGAATTTGCAGACAGTTCCATGAAGACTTCGTGTCTTTCAGTTCAGCTTTACTGGTGATGTCCGAATTTGAAATAGCAGCACTTCTCTTAGGCTTACTCAGTGGGGTAAACCAGGATACGTGTACTTCTGGCCTACAATATGGAACTTCAGCAGAAACAAATCACAAATTCAATTAGGAATTTAAGCCCTTGTAGAAGGGCAGTAGGGAGAGACAAGATGCTGGTTCTTGTCTGAACCATATTTCCCAGAAAGCTGTGGGGATTGACCGTCCTCAGTCAACTGGCCAACTGGTGGAAGATCAGACCGCACAAGAATGGTGCCTAACCCAGCCCAGACTGGGGTTAGATGGAAACAGACTGCAGTAGCGGTACAAAAATGAATGTCTTACTATTGGGCTCTCCATTATCCCCTTAAGGAATATAAGGTCCAGGTCGTTAGCTGTGGTGGAGCTGGGAGAGTCGCTGAGGGTGTCCAGTCCTTGATGCATAGCTGAAAAGGAAAAAAAGAAAGGTTATTTTGGTCTTTTATCTATTTATCCAGACTAGACTGAACTGTGGAAGTTTTGATGCTTTGGAGAAGGGTTAAATGAATTTAAAAAACCCATGTTAGTCCTTCCTCAGCTGGTGAGAAAAGGTGGTGGTCACATCACTTTCTAGTTAATTAAACTCTGAGCTAAAACAAAGGATTTTCTAAGCAATTAAACCTTGTTCACAATACAAAAACTTCCTCAGTTGTCTAATTAGGAAATGAGTATTAATTAACCTGTGCAGTTTCACAATGCTAAGGAGCTACTAATCCTGTTCCCAGACTTTAAAGGGAGAAAGAGCTATAAAAAAGACTTCTAATTCAGTATACAAAGTCGAATGTAGACACCACAAACAGCTGTTTTACCTTTATTAGTATTCATCAGCATGACACAGAGAACTGTGATCAGTAAAACAGCTGTATGCATGTAGGAATACACACTGTGTACAGAGGGAATACCGTGTTGCATTGAGCAGGGAACCAGTCTGAAGTTTGAGAATGAATGTTAATTCGCTTGTGAGTTCACAATGCTGAGGGTAGCAGGGCCATGTAAAGAGCCATCTAATTCCTCCTTTCATGGTTATAAAGTCAAAGTCTGCAGATAACTCATAGCGACAGAACACACACCACGAACCGGAGAGATTTTCTTGTAAGATATTTATCCACCTGTCTGTTTGCATTGAAGGCACTGGTGCTGAGACTGGGAACAGATCTGGGAGATCAGGAAGTGAGCAGGAGAGAATGCGGACTTGTACAGTAAGTGCAGCTGTTCTGTAATAAATCATCACACAAACCCTACAGTTACAATCACACTAATTCCTTACACTTATATAGCACTTTTCTGGACACTCCACTCAAAGCGCTTAACAGGTAATGGGGATCCCCTCCACCACCACCAGTGTGCAGCCCCACCTGGATGATGCAACGGCAGCCATAGAGCACCAGTCTGCTTACCACACACCAGCTCTCAGTGATGATGAATCCAGTTCAGAGATGGGGGTTAGTAGGAGGCCATGACTGTTAATGGCCAATCTAGCCAGGACGCTGGGGTAACACCCCTACTCTTTTCGAGAAACGCCCTGGGATTTTTAATGACCACAAAGACTCAGGACCTCAGTTTTACAACTCATCCGATGCCTTTTTTACGGAATAGTGTCCCCATCACTATACTGGGGCATTAGGACCCACACAGAACGCAGGGTGAGCGCCCCCTGCTGGCCCCACTAACACCTCTTCCAGCAGCAACCTTAGTTTTTCCCAGGAGGTCTCCCATCCAGGTACAGACCAGGCTCACACCTGCTGGGCTTCAGTGGGCTGCCAGCTAGGAGCAGCAGGGTGATATGGCTGCTGTCTGATGTTGTCTTAATTTTGACTAAAAGTGCCAGTTTCAGAGGGCAGTGCAAGACTCAGGACACACCAGGCAGGAAGTTCAAGTTTCAGCACACAGCTGCTTAGGAGGAAAATCTTTCCAGCTGTGTTCCTTTGTTTCCTCCAGAGCTTGCCTCCTGAGCACACCCTCTGCCAGTCTGGGAAGAACCAGTTCTTCTAAGCAGCTTCCCACAACACAGCTGCTGAGACCTCCAGGCTGAGGCCATGCCCTTTGAGAAAGCATTAGGAGACGTTTACACAGAACGGGATGCTACAAAGGGTGACAATGAGGGCAGCACCGTGCCAAGTTTAATACAAAGAGCAGCTGCCAGTGGAAAAGGCACAGATAACAGGGAGGGAAGGTGGCTGTATATTAAAAAGTATTCTGAGCACATCTGTGAGCAGGGAGTTAAAAGGCACCTCTGCAAGAGAAAACGCCTGCAAATGAGAAAGCGATTGCAGGAGCTTGCCAATCAGTTCAGCAACTCCTTACCAAGCACAGCAACTCTTTTTACACAGACGGAAATAACAGTGCTGATTAAGGGAAAGCCACGGGTGAAAAACACTGTATTTCCAGCATGGATTTTAATAATGCTCAATTCAGGAGCGTTCCACACTCTGCTAGGGGGAGAATCTCAGCACTGCCAGCCTTACCCATCTCTCACGATTAAGTGCCTTTATATATTTACACACAATTTGTAAATCCGGAGCCTAATCCTTCCAGGGGGTCCCGAACAACAAATCTATAAAAAAAGTGAGCTTTTCCTTTTCTGTTCAGCACAGCTTTGGAAAACTGGGTGGCTATTTTGGGATACAGACTAAAAGTGCTACAGATTGGGAACTGGGGTTAAACGATTTGAAAGACACCTGGTTCTTAAGTGCTCGGCAGGGTTTTCCGAAGCGCAGCTGGGGCTACATGGCCCCCAGTTTCTAAACAAGAGCAAGGATCAAACAGCCAACCGCAACCGGGCACATCAGAACCGTCCGGATCTTCATATTCTCACACTGCGAAAGAGCCACTGCAGAAAAGAGAGCCTGGCATCTCTTGGGCTTGGGAGTTCGTTCTGCACTTTCTGAATCCTTACCCCACCCTTCGGCAACCGGTGGAGAGAGGGCTGTCAAAGCTCTGAAGGGTCATTATGTGAAGCTGATAGCCAACTGCTTATTAAAAATATGAAAAGGGGGCATTCACTTGAAAGGGTACTGAATGAGACGAGACCTCATTAACAGACCTTAAGCTGGATCCTTCACAGAAGTCGAGTGCATGAGGGTGGATGTGTCTTATTTTCGCTGGAACACTCACAGGCCAGCGTCTATTCTGCAAGAGGAGGAAAGACTCATCATCTACCTAAAGAGCTCTAATGAGCTGAGGCCCCATGAGCAGCCCTGCAGCACCTTTATTGACACAAGCGACTCAAATTAAAGGCTGGGGTCCTCACGGGGGGGAAGGACTCTGTTTGGACAGCCCCAATTACCAAGGCCCTAATTCAGCTCCTGATTCGTGCAGCCCAAAAGTCCCATGTTCGGGGGGCGGCTTTTTTCGCCTTCCTCCCTGCACCCCCGCCCCCCCCATCGCGTCCAGCCGTCTTCCAGCTCCGCAAAGACTGCTGGCCGGTGAGTAGCAGTAGTGCAAAGAAAGTAGGCGAAACATCAAGCAAGCTGGGGGACCAAGGAGTGTCTTGAGAGATAGAGCAAGAGGTTCGGCACTGGTAGTGTCCCAGTAAAGCAGAGCTGCAATTCCTAAGACAACCACTAGAGGCCGCACTGCGTCGGCGCTGCCATTGTCCTGAAGTGGCAATGTGACAACGGTTATCCCTGGTATGTGAATGATTTAATAAAAAGCTGGAATGTGCAGAAGGGGATCAACTGGCAGGCCAGTGTGTTAACGCACAGACTTAACACAGTCAGCCAATGAACCTGTCTGCTAGGCAATAAAAGGCCAGGGTAAAGTACAGATTCAATTCAGGTTTAAAATCTGGTCAGGAGGAGGAGACTCAGTGGCTAATGGAAAGTCACTTAGCTATAGATCCCGGGACTTGTCTGGAGCGAAGAGGTGGAATGCCGAGCATGAGGAGAGAATGACTAAAGAAGTTCTCGGATG